ACTTGCAGCATGCAGGTAGTCGGGTGGGGGTTGGGGTTTTTTGTTTGTTTGTTTTTAATGGTGATGACTGGCTCTTCCTTCATTTGCAGGAGTAAGAGGTCTCTAGAATCTCATGGCTCTCTGTAAAGACAGTCCGTGAAACGTATCTATAATTATTGAAGGGAAGAAGTACAGGGTTATCCATACCACGCTGCCTTACCTCTGTGCAGTAAACTCCCAATTACCAAATCTATCTGATGGTTGAACTCAGGGGAATTAGACTGTACTTTGAAGCAGCTTTTACGGTACATTTCATCTACGTTTTGGTTTTCTTTAGTTCTCATTAAAAGGCCACTCTCTTCTTTTCACTGATATAGTGTCTTTGTGTCCTTCATTTCACACTCTCGGAAAAAAAAAAAAAAAAAAAAAAAAAAAGTTCTCACATCTTGGGTGGGGGCAAAAATAATAATAATATTTTTTTAAAAAAACTGTGAGCTGGATTTCTTATTCTTCCCCCTTTTTTTTCCACCCTTGGTGCAAATCTTTTACTTTAAAGCAGAGGTTGTTCATACTAACGAAAGGTCCTTCAGTGAGAGTGTGGACGGAGGGATACTCCAGCGGTATTGGGAAGGTAAAATAAGAAGAGATGGACGCAGTGTGAACAAATCTCTCTCCTCTCACTCTCTCTCTCTCTCTTTTTTTTTTTTTTTTTTTTTTTTTTTTTTTTTTTTTCCTGTGTGTGTTCCGGGCTCGGTCTCACAAACTGATTTCTCAGAGCGGCATCTAATAATCACTTTAGAGATGTTCAAATGAGGACATTCGCTCTTTTCTAGCAAGAAGTAAAGATGTGACAGGTTTTGTTATCGGGGGTATAGTGAGAGCTTTGTCAGATATTCCCTTTCTTTCCCCATAAATACACCATCTATAAATAAAGACCCCCTGTCTTAAAGCGTGACTCTCCCCGCTGGCTCTGTCCACTTTCTGTCCGGTGTGTCCACATAAATCCAAACTTCATGTCACTTAACATATTTTAATGATTTTTACCAACCCAGGCAGAGTTATTGGGGGGTTGGGGGGGGGGGGTTGGGTGTTGTGAGTTGCTTTTTTTCTTTTTTTTTTCCTCTCCAGATATTGCACATGACTCTTCTCTGCTGACTCCCAAGCCCGAATTTCCCTGGACCAGCCTCAGTGGCAGAGAAAACCAACCATCCCACAGAAACAAGTTGCAGGGGGACTCAACAGAGCACTGGAAATTCCCCTGCTCGTGACAGCAGCGGTTTTCTTGTCGGCTTTTGGGGAAAAAAAAAAAAAAAAAAAAAAAAAAAAAAAAAAAGAAGGGGGGGTTGGGGAGAAAAAAAGCACCCTGTCACTCAGAAAGGGGCCGTTTCCTTAACCTCTCTCCCCCACACCCACGGGGCAGGCCAGCCAGCTCTGCCTCCCACGCACACGGACATGGAGGGGGGTATAAAAACCCCTCGGAGGGTGGGGGGGAAGCAGCCCCCCCCCTCGTCCCCTGTCACCCCTGGTTTGTGAGGCAGGGTAGGGTAGGCCCCAGGCTTTGGGGGGCAGTGAGAAGGGTCCCCCCGAGACCCTACATCTGGGGTGGGGCCATAAAGCAGGCCCGGGATCTGGTGTCCCCCCACCTCACTCCATGACCCCACGCCGGGGCCGCCCCAGGCAGGCTCAGCCCCGAGGTGCAGCTGAAGCCCCGGGGGTGTGTGTGTCCCCCCCGAGAGCCCCCCGGCGTGCGTCAGCCCTGGCTGGAGGTCGCTTTATGGTGCGTATGTGCTCCCCCCTTCCGGGACGCGGTAGGTTTTGGCATCTCAATTCTGGCGGGGCAAGGCGAGGGGAGCATCTGGGAACCCCTTTGGAAGTGGGGGGCGGGGGGGGGGGGGAAGAAGCAGAGGGTCATTTTGGGTGCAGAAAACATCTGCAAAACGTTCTGGCGGCTCTTGCGGGAAAGGGTCTGGCCTTTTATTGCAGAAATGGTAAAAAAGACACGGGTGGTTGTAGATCCCGATCCCCCCCCCCCCCCCCCGCCCTCCCCAAACAAAGGACAAAGCTTGATGAAATAACCCGGGTGTGAGCAGCGCCGGGGAGCATCGCCTCGGTGCCCGGGACAAAGGTGGGAGAGGAGGAAGGAGAGAGAGGGGGGAGCTGGGTGGCACCTCCCGGGCATCTGGTCTGAAGGGAAGAGGGGAGGACGTGTTGAGGACGCAGGTAAATAAAATCTGAGTTGGAGCGGTGTTAAACACACCATCCGGGGCCATGCCTGTGCACAGTTCCGCCTTGATATGCAATTAAATTACAGCAAATTCCTCTTTAAATAATATCGTTGGGAATCCTTCTTTAAGATTCAAGGATGTCTGAGGTTAAGTAGCTTTTAAAACGTCAGTTCTAAATGGCTTATGCAATGAATAGCTACCTTCAAATCCTAAAACCATTGTAAATATGCTATACATATGGATGCCAGTTTGTCTCTACATATTTCTTTTTAAAATGAGGGAAGCATTCATAAAAAGCTACTTGCAACACTTTATTTTAGGAAAGCAGATGTTAATTTTTTTCACATATCATTTTATGACCAAGTACATGTGTAACATTGGAAAGCATCCAGATCACCTCTATTATTTGCTAAATGACTGTTAGTTGAGGCATAATATTCTCGGCATAACCAAGGTATAGGTTATATCAATAAAATAAACATCTGTGATTTTAGCAGGAGAGGCAAAAAAAAAAAAATTTTTTTTAAGAGTTCCTATAAAAGTGGGGAAAGCATTTGTGTAGGGAGAACACACCTGCAAAAGAGTAAATTGGCTATTTACACAGCCACGCCGAAACCAGGCTCTCTGCTGTACAGTAAAAAGGGGGGTCGCAAAACTCCACGAAAAAAACGCGATGCTGGCTGTAGCTTTCTGCACGACGTGCTAACATATCCCGGGCACTGGATGAAAAGCCCCGGGATGCTTTCTAGGCAAGGATTGCTCTCTCTCTCCCTCCTTAACAGCAGAGCGTGTAGCTCGCAGGAATGTATTAGCCACCGTTTCCTCCTGTCAATGTTGAAGATTTCCCAGAGACTTCAAGGGGATGGGTTTTTCCCTCTCCGCAGCAAAATATCTGCAAGAGATGTTCGTGTTTGCGAGGAGTTTTACGAGGGGCTTGAGTACATAAGAGGAGAGAGGCATAATGCGTCGGCATCATAATTAACTGTATGCAATATTTATCGCCCTGTGATGTTTGTTATCAGGCAGGCGATCGCACTCAATTGAGGTTTAACAAATAGGAGCGTTATTGATCAAATATAATGAATAAATATGCATATGTATTATTTATCTGTGCACACATGTAGACACACAGGCGGGAGCGTCTCATTACTGAAGATGAGGAGAGCTGCCTGCAATCCGGAGGCAGCAGCCACCGCTCCTGCATCTCTCCCAGCCCTGCCCCTGTGCCAAGGGGCCGCCGAGAAGTGTGTGGGGGGGTGTTGTTGTTGTTGGGTTTGGTTTTTTTGGCTTAAAAAAAAAAAAAAAAAAAAAAAGTTGAAATGTTGCAAATATAAATATATATATATATATATATATAATAGGTCACCAATAAAATTGATCTCAGCATGGAGTATAATTGTAACAAAATGCTGCTGAGTAAAAACCGAGGAGCTCGCTGGCTGGGGCAGCCTCGTCGCGAACCATCTGGTGCGTGTTAAAAGCGGTGCTGTAAATATTGCTGAAAACTAATGCCTTATCAGCTCCTATAGGCGCAGGGGCCTGCGAGCTTTCCATATGTTGGGGTATGTAGATGGCGTGGCACACGGAGGGAAAGGTGTCGCGTCGGCCAGGATCTCCTCGGGCACGGTTTTGCGTGATCCTGATGGAAGTTTGTCCCGACAGAGAGGGGGAAGGAGAGGGGGGAGGGAGAGGGAAGGCCCCTCTCCCCGTCCCGCTCGCTCTGACGACGATAGGGTATGCAACTGCTGACGTCACTTCACATCAGGGCCGGGGAGCAAACGTGACCCAGGCAGGAGCTCATCTGTTTCTCATCACTTGGGAAGTTTCTCTCGCTCCCCTCCCTCCTTCCCTCCCTCTCCCCTTCTCCTTATTTTTTTTTTTTTTTCTCTTCTATTTTTTTTTTTTTTTTTTTTAACACGTAAATAAGCCGGGGCAGGCCCCATCCCCATCCCCGTCCCCAGCCGCCCCCCGCCCGCTCCCCGCCGCCGCCGCCCGGGCTCCCCGCGGGGAAGGGATGCGAGCCCGGGCCCCACTCCCACGCGGGGTGTCCCGGCGAGAGTGTGTGTGTGTGTGTGTGTGTGTGTCTGCCTGCGCCCCACGCCCCGGGCCCCCCCCCCGGTCCCTATTCCCATGCCATTGTTCGCAACCCGCAAGCCAACTTCGGCTGCCGATTCAAAGCCCGGCGGTCCCCTGGCTCCTGCATTGTACTGAGGGTCACTTACTCTTTTTCTCGGAGTTGGGCTCTGCTCCTTAATCTCTCCTCTTCTCTGCTCCTCATGAGCTGACGCCTTCTCCCCACGCACCCGGAGCTGCCACAGAGGCTCGTCTTGATAAACCTGCTGCTAATGACGGCCCAGCACAGAAATAAAAACTCTCGCTCTCTGCTTTCCTCCCCCCTCCTTTTTTTTTTTTTTTTTTTTTTTTTTTTCCTCCAGGCTGCATTCCCCTCTGACCGCTGCCGCCTTTAATTATGGGAGCTATATTTCTTCCCTGGGAGTCATTCGTGGGGATTTTTTAGGTGGAAAGGCGTTTCAGCGGAGTTATTTTTGAGCAGGGACCAGTGCCCTATATCCAGAGGCTTTGAGTGAAGTGCAGATTGAGACATATCGGGTTCCCTATAAAAGGATCATTTCTTGTGGGAGGTTGGACACGAAGTTTGGACTCGTGACTTGCATTCCTGAGAGACATGCATATTTTAAAACAACAAAGCAAGCTCGGAAGAAGGCTTAGAGGAGGGGAGAGGGAGGGAAAAAAAAAGAAAAAACTTGGAAAGAAGTTACTAAGTGACAAACATCTGTCAACATGGACCAATTTGTATGGCTTTCCGGAAAAAAAAAAAAAAAAAAAAAAAAAAAAAAAAAAAAAAAAAAAAAAAGAGTATCTGACTAGTTGTATTTATCACTTCAGGGAGCCGCAGCTACTTTACTGGAAGTTTGTGTGGCTCTTCAACCGCTCAGAAATGCAGTTTGGCTCAAAACTCGGAGTTTAAAGCGATTTTCTGGCCTGTGGATTTAAGTCCCATCTCCTTCTTTACCGTCTCTTTGCGTGGAGCAGGTTCAATGCTTCAAAAGATATCTTACCCCTCAGAAAAATAATCCCGGGTGGGGTGAAAGACAAAAGGCGAGCAAGCAGGGGGACTCGTGTGTCTGTGTAAGGAAGCCACCGGCACACCCGATCCCGCAGCGCAAATAGTGTCTCTGGAAGAAAAAAAAAAAAAAAAAAAAAAAAAAAAAAAGTGAAGAAACGTGATGAAAAAGGGCATCCCTGGCTTGCTGTGAACCCTGAGGGGTGTGGGGATGCGTGGGGTCGTGGGCAGCGCCCCTACACACACACTTCCACCTCCAAAGAAGGGGAGGGGGGGGGAATGTATTTTAAAAAAAAAAAAAAATAAAAAAAAATAAAAGGTGGCGAGGAGATCCGGGGGCGTGGGGGGGAGATCGGGGGCGGCGGCTTGCGGGCGGGTGGCGGGGGTCTGGGCTGCTGGCGGGGGTCTGCGGACAAAAGGAGAAGGCCTAACGTTGGGCTGGATATCTCTGTTAGTTGTCAGCGCGGGTCCACGGGCTGCCGGGGGGCCGGGGCGGGGTGGTGGGGGGGGATGATGCTAATCAGCCCTCGCCGAGCGGGATGCAGCCGGGGCTGCCACACGCACACGCACGACCGCGGGGGGCTCGGGCACAGTCGCACACCCCTCACTCCTCGCAGGGGGTTCGACCGTGACCCCCACCGCTTTGGCTTTTTGCTTTACGCATTTGGCCGAGCAACGGTAGGACCAGAATTAAACGTTATATACCGCAAATGTCTCCCTAAATCAACACAATAGGATAGTTTACAGCCACCAGCCTTCTCCTTCAAGGAGCCTGCCTCCCCCCTCTCCCTTCTCCATCCTTTCTTCCCTTGCTTGCTCTTTCTATTTTTTTTTTTTTTTTTTTTTTTTTTTTTTTACAACCGGGGATATTTTATACCCTGTAGTTTTGGATTTGATCCATTGCTTTAAGCTTGATGGAGGGTTCTGCAGACAAGGAGATGTATATACACTATTATACAGCCATCATTGAGATTACTAACAGTGAGTCTCTTGTCAGCCAGACGGTCCTGCTTTGAAACACTACTCACATTATCCTGATATTTCAAAATTGGGGGTAAGGGGAGGGAGGGGAGATACAATTTCCCACTGTCCCTTTTGTTAATTGTTTTCTTCCCTCGCAACTACGTTTATAACCCGATCGGGCCCATTTCACGTAGTGTCTTTGTATTTCTAGTGGAAGCCACGTGGGGGTGGGAGAAGAGATCCTAACATCCCTCCTCAAGCCTTCATCCGAATACCACCACCCCCGCCTCTCCTCACACAAGCCCCTGCATCCCAGTGACCACCAAAATCGGGCTGGCGGGGGGCAACTTGGGCCACCCCTCCCTGCGGCCCCGAAAGTGGCAGGGCGGGAGGGGGGGGGGGAGGGGAGTGGGCTGTCTCCGACCCTTCCCCACAGCTGGATAATGTGATTTGATTTTTCAGGTGGCTGCACCTTGCTCCGTGCAGCCATGGGAAATGTCCAGGCGGGATGCCTTCGCTTAAAAAAGAAAGGGGTGGGGGGGCTGTGGGGGGACGGGACCCCCCAAACCACTGTCAGACAGGCCTTGGGAGGAAGGGAGAGGGAGGGAGAGAAGGGCAGGAGCTGGGACTAGGGAGTCACCTTGGGCAGTGGTCACCTTCCCCATCTCTGCATTCCAGCCTTATTCCCCGGCTATTTTGAGCTGAAGGTGATCAGAGGGGAGAAGGGGTAGGTGCTGAAATATTTAAGGTAGTATTTAAACCCTGAGCTTTCAATGAATGAAGAAGAAGGGGGGAGGGGGGGGATATGTTTGGGGGAAAAAAAAAAAAAAAGTTGGAAAATGGATTCGCTGACAAGTAAGGATAATAAATGAGAGGCGCTTTCAGATAGATATCTCAGACGTGAAATTGCACCCAGCTGGTTGTGTAAGCAAACAAATAGTTTCATGTTAGGGACTCTCGACTTGTGGCTTGATGAATAGAACACGACAGAGGTAAATGGCTCTTTAACTCATTTAGGAATAAAACTCTTTGGCTTCCTAAGTAAAAGACCTGGTGACGCCATGGATCCTGAGCAAGCACTTTAACAAGAGTTTTATTAGTTTCCACTTGTGCTCTCGGATCTCCCCCCTCGCTCACCTCCTCCCTTACGCCTCTGTTTTTTCCCCTTTTTTTTTTTTTTTAAAAATTATTTTTTTTTTCTCTTTCCCCTTCCGTCCTTCTCGGTTTTTAAATTATTTTCCCCTCGAAAACACCTTCTCGTAGGACGGATCGCCCATGCCACCGGCACTGGGAAACCCGGCAAGTTTGAGAGGTACCCGGGCAAGTCGGACGAGGGATCTGACCATGGCAGCCGAGAGTTGTGGCTTTTGAAATGTGTTTATTTGTCATTCTTGCTGCGCTCCGAAATCACCGCGGAACACTCATCCTCAACCGCTCTGACCCACTGGGGATTAGAAAGGGGAGAATGTCAAAAAAAAAAAAAAAAAATCGCACGTCAAAGTCAGTGACTGTGAAGCCAATTAGGAAAAGATCCTTTTAAAACAAATATATAGACACGTTTCGGGGAGGTCACGCCGTTTCTGAAATTAGCCCCAAGATGTAGAGAAACGGGAAGAAAAGTGGGGAAGGGCAAGGGGACAGATTCCTGACTCTCCTAGTAAAGCAGACAGGATAAAGACATGGGTCATGGGACAAAAAATAAAAAAAAAATAAAAAAAAAAAAAAAAAGGGGGGGAAAACAAAACAAATTGTCTATTTCAAGACTTAAAAACTAACCCTTTGAATAGTCAAAATGCCCCATGAAACCGGAGGAAGCATGTCGACAGTGTCTGTAATAGCCGTGCACACGCGTTCGCGGACATTGCCGATAAATACTGGTGGGGTGGCTGCAGCAAGCCCTGACCCCCCCCGAAACCCCCCTTCCGTCCCTCTGTCCGTCCGTCGGAAGGTCTGTCCAGGCCAGCTGAGGCCACCGTCCCTGCCAGCCCTGCCTGCGCATCCCCCGGCAGTGGGTCTGCTGCCTGGTGGGAAGGGGATGACTGGCTGCCATACCCCACAGATAATTAAAAAAAAAAAAAAAAAAAAAAAGTCGGAGGGCCTACTTAAGGATAAAATACATTTCTCTCTTTGTGTTGGGAGCCAAACATTTTTTCTGGTTGTGAAGCAGGGCAAAATTCACTTTTTTCTTGTGTTACACGGGCTGCCACTTGCAATGACCCCGAGCCAAAGCTTTCCACGCGAGATCCTCCACGCACCTCTCAAGGAAAGCGCCTGGACCGGCGAGAAAGGCCACTCGCGATGGAGTCCCATCCCAACGCCCCCCCGCGCCTTCCACTTAATTTCGAGGGGTCTGAGGGGAAGTCGGGGTTACCTTTTTCCCCCCGTTCCCCCCTGGAGTGCGCTCATCGCCCTCTCCCCCGTGGGTGAAGGAGGCCGAGCCGCCCAGACGGTGCCCCCCCCCCAGGGTTGGAGGGATGTTGAGAAGCCCCCAGAAAGGGGCAGCAGCAGCTCCTTCGGGGAGTGGGGGGGGGTGGGGGGCAGTGGGGACACACATAGAAGACATGACCCCCCGCCCCGGCGCTGCTCCTGGCACTGCCGACAACCCGCCCCCCCGCCCCCCCGCCCCGCCTCAGCTCGGGTTCAACCTACCACTTAGCAGCATTTCCAAATATTTATTCGATTGAATATATAGAAAAGGCCTTAATTGGGCAGTGGGAGGAGGCAAGCTAGTTAGCGAGGAGTTAAGAGGTGTGTGTGTGGGGGGGGGGGGGGCCCCTTTGTATCTGCCGTGCCCTGAGAGGGTCCCCTGCGCGGGGCTGGGGTGGGAGGGTCGCTCCCCCACCCCACCCCCCATCCCACCCACTCCCCCCGCTTTCCCCCCTCCTCCCCCGCCTCGAAGCTGTGCCGCAGCGGTTGGTGAGGACGGAGGGGCCGCGGAGCCCTGCGCGGCGGGGAAGTGGGGGGGGGATGGATGGACTGGAGGGGGGGGTGCCCTGACGAGCCCCCCCTGCAGAGCTTGGGGGCTGCGGAGCCCCCGGGGGCAGCGCCCGGGCCCCCGGCGACCACAAGGCAGGAGAAATGTAGCTGGAGTTGGTTTTAAAGCAGTATATTGTAGCTTACGCACAAGTCAGCAGAAACTTGCAGAGGGACCCCGGCCCCTCTCCACTTTCACATATTGTAATTTTTTTTTTTTTTTTTTTTTTCCCAGCAAATAGCGCTCGGTGACGCGATCATACAGTATTTTTAGCCACCGTATGAATGCCCGAGAGGCTGGAGCGTGGCAAAGGAAAACATCCACTGACACAACGCGGACTGGGTAGTTAACACTTCAGAACACGATACCGTCTTATAAGCAAAGTTTAATAAGGGATTGAAACACTTCTTTCTAGGCACATACATGGAAATAAGTGCATCTCGTACACCTCCTCTACACCTGCAAGTTTCTTGGCAATCGGTGGGTTATTATTATTCATAAATATGAAAATTAATTGAAAAATACGTTTCTGACCTACGAAAAAGTTTATCTGTTTTCATCAGTGGGATAACACTGTAATGAATATATTTACATCTCATTGGAAGAAACCGAGACCTGTCTTTCTCTTCCGATATCCCCATTTGTTTGGTTTATTTTTTTTGTTGTTTTTCTTTTTTTTTTTTTTTTTTCTGTTTTGTTGGTTTTTTTGTGTGTTTTTTGTGTCTTTTTTTTTTTTTTTTTCTCTGTTTCTGTTTTTAACTGTTAATCCATCTGGGTCCCCAGTCACCCATCCCACCAAAAAGCAATGCTGAAGTGCTTCTTCAGCACCTCCCGGGGCTGAGCACCCGGTCTCGCTCCCCGCTGGCAGCCCGGAGGGGCTGCTGGACCCCCTCTGCCCTGGGGAAGGCAACTGGGGCCAGGGATAAAGCTGTCGCCTATGCAGCGTCCATTCCAGTGAGAAAAGGGTGTCTGTCAGTCTGTCTAATTCCCGTCCTCGTGTGCCCAGGTCTGAAATCACCCGTTGCCCCCCCAGAGCACCTATGAATACAGGCCGCTTCTCCATCCTGAAATGGGCTCTACCCCCATAGAGGATCTGCCCACAATGTTGATTATCCAGCTATAAGTGCCTACTGTATAGAGCTGCTCTCGCCTCGGATCTGCTGCGCCTAGAATATTAAAAACCCCAAGCGGGTTGGATTGAAGGATCTTGTTAATGCAAAAAAAAAAAAAAAAAAAAAAAAAAAAAAAAAGAAGGAGAGAGAGGGAGAGGGAGAGAGAGAAGGAGAGTATGGAGGACAGCAAATTAAAAGGAAAACATTGCCCATGACTCCACAAAGTGAAAAGCCTGCCTCATCCAGGCTTGTTTGGAGGGCACGGGAGGTGTCTGCGTGAGGGAGGGAATGTTATTTTTAAGGATCGAGCTTTATTAATATGTTAAGAAAGAGCTCCCTTGGTAGTATGTGTTCTTACAGCTCCGTCTCAGATCCTATAAAACATTAATGCACTGAAAGCTGTTACAGAGATGTGCACCACCAGCTAGAAGCATTGTGAAGCCTTTACCTTCAAAGGAGCTCCATTACAGAAACGGTTTTTAATTTTCTTTGCAAAAAAAAGGACGAGCAGAAACGAAGCGGGGCTTTTGGCACAGAGCTCAGGCCCCTGCGGTGGGCGGCCGTGGTGCGGGGGGCCACGGCCCGTGTTTTGCGCGTGGCCATGGCACATGAGCACCCACGGAACACGCCGGCTCGCCACCCAACGAGCAAGCATCCAGCTGGATTTCTATATTAATGGGCTGGGAATACCCTCCACGCGCAGCGACCGGAGTCAGGAGAAACAGCGAGAGGGATGTTTCGGCTGACAGCAAGCGCAAAGCGTGCACGCCGGAGCACACGCCGGGGTCTGCGAGTCCTTGGGGTGGAAAAGAAGAGAAAAGAAGCAAAAAAAAAAAAAAAAAAAAACAAACCCAAAAAAAACCCCCAACCTAAAAAAAAAAAAAAAAAAAAAAACAAACACCCCCCTCAAAAAAACCACCCACCACCACTACCCTGGGCCCCCAAAAGCAGAAAGCCACCATGCCTGCCACCAGCAAGGAGTCATGGCTGCGGTATGCCTCCCGCGGCGATGACGGCATACGGTGACTTCAATCCATGCCCGTGGCGCCCGAGAGCGAGCAGCAAGGTGTGAACCCGGCAGAAGCTCCAGCTGATGGGGATAAAGGTGTCTCCAAAAAAAGGGTAGGCCGGTGTGGCGGGCCCCCCCGTCAGCCTGGGTGGGGGGAGTCTGCCGTGCAGTCGCAGCAAGACGAGGTCACCCACGGCATCGCGCCGCGCTGCCCGCTCCCGCTTCCTAGGCCTCGACAGCTCAGCCCTGAACTCACACAGTCAAGTCACTTTTGGAACAGCACGTGGTTTACACAACTTGGTTACCCCTCACAAGTATTTTTTTAAGTTCTCCCTTTTAACACCGGTACAGGAGTTAAAATGCCAGGGAGATTTGTTTGTTTGTTTTGGTTTGGTTTTTTGTATATTGTTTTGTTTTTGTTTTGTTTTTGTTTTTTTTTTTTTGTGAACTGTTGGCATGTTTCAAGCAACAAGACTCATGGGTTGTGGGGTGATAAGTTGATTTTTTTTTGCTAAATTCTTTTATTTTTGTTTAAATTCTCACTTCAATTTTAATTCTTGAAGAACAGCTTCGACAACATATATCGCACTCATTATAAGAAGCAAAGGGTTATATCAAAAATTATTAGTATAGAATCACAGGAAACCTGGTTTGGAACCAGAAAAAAATACAAAACAGATATAGATACATAGACACAGGACAATTTTTTTTATAATTATTTGGAAAATGTTATTTTCCCCTAATTCTCGTTCCTTTTTTTTTTTTTTCTTTATGCGCATACGATGTTTTAAGTTTTACAAAAAATGAAAATAAAGACTAATATTTTACAAAATGAGTAACAATGCTCGTGGTAGGTGTTTGCGCGTGGAATTTTTTTTGTTTGTTTGTTTGTTTGTTTGCTTGCTTGTTGTTTTTTCATTCTACACAAGGTTCAGTTCAGTTTCAACGCGTTTTGTTTTGTTTGTTACTGTACAGCATATATCAACAACAGTCCACAATAAATCCTGGAAGATCCAGTATCCCCTTCAGGTTTGATTAATATCCCCTCAATACTCATATTTTTTTTGTTTTTATGGTTTTTTTATTTTTTTTTCTTTTTTTGTCTCTTTTATTATTATTATTTATTCTTTTTCCTCCTCTCCGGGAAAAAAAAAACAAAAAAAAAAAAAAGGAAAAAAAACAAAAAAAAAAAAAAAAAAAAAAAAGAAAAAGCGAAACACCACCACCTCCGCGGACGCGAGGTCCGTCCTTCTCCCCACCACGGCCACTCCTCTGCTCCTACTCGGCCCTTTCTTTTGTTCAGTGTCCGCCTCCCGGGCCCCCCCCCCGCACCCCGACTGCCCCTCGGTGCGAGCGCTCCCGCCTCCGCCGCTCCGCCGCGTCTCTGCCGGGGCTGCGGGCCGGGCTCTAGGAGCACTGGATGGACATGTAAGGCCAGTTGAAGCTGCTCCCCGACAGTAGCATATCCCTGATGAGGGTTTCGATGGGGGTTTTACCTACCAAGCGGACGAAGAAGAGCTGCTCGATGACCGAGGAGGAGACGGTGCGCAGGGAGGGCAGCCGCAGCAGCAGCTTCCCGAAGCGGCTGGGCTGGTTGGGGTACTGGCTCCGCACGTACTCCTCCAGCGCGCACTGCGACTTCTCCTGCAAGCTCTCGATGTGCGCAGCATCCGACAGGCCGCAGGCGTCTGCCCCGCCGTACCGCACCCGCGGAGGCAGCCGCGGAACGGCGGCGGCGGGGGAAGGAGGAAGGGGGGGGGGGGGGGGGGGGGAAGAGGAGGAGGAGGAGGTGGTGGAGGAGGAGGGGGAAGGAGGAAGCGGAGGGGGGAGATGGTTAGTGGCGGGGAAGCGCACGGGGAAGCGCCGCCGGGATGGGGGGGGCGGGGGGGGGGGGGGCACCCCCAAAGGCGCACCCCCCCACCATCCCACCCCATCCCCATCCCACCCCATCCACATCCCGCACCGCCGCTGAATAGATTACGCGACCCTTTCCGCGGCTCGCCGCACACCCCCCCACCCGCACCCCCCCGCGGGTATTGCCACTAGGGGAGCGGTGGGGTGTCCAAACATGCCCCCCCGACATCCCACTTCACCTTTTCCCTTCCACCCACCCCCCCCCCCCCCCCCGCGCGCCCCCCATCACACACCCAGCCCGGACACTCGTCACCGGCGAGCGCGGTCCCGGCTGCAGGGAGCCCTTGGCCGGGATGCTGGAAACTGGGACCAGCCCCCGTTAAAACACACCGAGGGTGGGGTGAGGGGGAGGAGGAAAAAGCGGGGTATTGGGGAAAGTAATAATAATAGTAATAAAAATTTTAAAAGAAAAAAAATAAATAATAATAAAAAAAAGAAGATAAAAAGCATTGGCACGCACTCTCAGAGGGAGTTTGTTGACATGGCTGCGCATCAGAGGGAGGCAGCGGCTGGGAGCCGGCCGGGGGATGCCGGGGGAGGGGGGGGGGGAAAGGGAGTGTCCCCCCCCCTCGTCCCTGCCCCGCCGTCAGCGATCGCAAATTGGCCGCGTTTTGTTTTTTGTTTTTTGTTTTTTTTTTGTTTTTTTTTTTTTTTTTTTTTTTTTTTTTCGGGCTGTGCGATAAATCCGGCGGAAAACGGGCTGGGTTAGTCGGGGCTTGCGCTGAGCCGGCGCCTGCGGCTCTCAGACACAAAGCTGGGGACGGCGGCAGCGGGTGAGCCTAGCTTAAACGTGGACCCGAGTGGGTCCCCTCCCTATAGGTCTCTATGGCACGTATACGTCCAGAAATGTACCCCTGACACCTCGCAGAACGATACGACCCGGGCAAACGCACGCTAACCCCCCTCTCCTCCACGCGTTTGTCCCGACACGCGTGGTTCTGCGCGTACGTGTGCGCGGAGACAGGCGCAGGGAAGTATTTAGCACACAAGCTCGCACGCCCTATGTCTGTGAATAGATAACCCGAAACTGTGGGTAATGATGCGCCGGCTGCTTTTTGAGGGATTTGCGCAGGAAACTACAGAGGTGGGAAAGTGGTGGCTGTGCCCGGATGGTTGAAACCATCCACATTGTTTCGGAGATTAATAATAAATATTAAAAAAAAAAAAAAAAAAAACCAAAACCCAAACAGAAAACAAACAAACCAAAAAAACCATCGGGATCAGAGGGAGGCGGTCAGCTGGCAGTGCGGTTTAACGCAGATCAAAGCCAGACTTTACTAATATATAGATCCGTATATGAATTAATGCATGTTAATGGCCCCCAAAAGGACATTACAAAATTGTGAATGTAGAATTACGACCCTGGAAAGACACAACAAATTATTCAAAGCCAAAAAATAATAATAATAATAAAAAAAATCTGTCGCAACTGCATTTTTGAAGTTTAAGTCTTCCCATATCAAGAACTGGCTTTACAAAGATTTCTGAACACCTTCATCTACAACGCTATGGCCTGGAGCAAAAATACAAATAAAACAAGCCATAATTCAGGAACTTCTGAGAGAGAGAACCTTTGACCTGAGCTGCGGACTTGGCATCCCTCAGATATACAATTATCTGAGTCAGGCTTCTCTGCTAATCCATACTGTACCTTTAATGCAATGATATTTTGCAACATCTAAAGCACCCGGTTGCAACATATACATCTATCAAAAGCTCGGGCCTGTTCTTGTTTGCAATATATATCAAAAACACAGGCCTGTTCATATGTTGATTGCCACAAATCACACTCCATATTTACATATATCTTGCTATTTTACATGCATTATCTGCCCATTATGCATTAGGATCCTATTCAACTTCCAAACAATGCAATATGAAAGGGTCTTACTGACACCCTAGCAAGGCTTTTTTTCTTTATGCCCCATATGTCATACCCTTAAGGTTAGTAAAATATTTATCAGATATTTACGGGAAGTGCACCTATAACTGCAGGTCACTTGGATAATGTGGATGGGGAAGTTGCTCACTAGAAGGGCGGCAGCTCGGGGAGCGGGTATGTGCGGGTGTGTGTGTTTTTAGGAAAAAAAAAAAAAAACAAACAACAAACCAAACCAAACCAAACCAAAACCAAACCAAAAACCAACACCTTAGGTTTTGCCCTGAACCTACAAAGGCTCAGGGTTTTCTCATGCCGGTAGTATCTATTGAGCTTTAATTATTTTAAACGCTCTGGCATATGCCTTTAGCCGAGGTTTATTCCGCATCCTTCAAGGTGGCGGTGGGAAGGCTTAACTCTCCCTTCAGAACAGGATTAAAATAATAATAATTAAGGGATGCACAGCTCGATTAGATTATAGAGTCCAGAGAGGTGCAATCCGTGGGAGAAATAATGCAATCCGTGTTTACCGGAGGTGAATTATTATTCCATCTCTGAAAGTGGGCTAATGTGAAAATCCTGCGTGTGCCTCACTTTTTTATATGGCAGTGTGTCAATAAGGGAAAGCTCTATATTTCTTCCTGCAGTCTATGGAAAAGAAATTATGTAAATAAATAACCATTACCGTTCAGCACACTCCAGCCTTCCCCTTTGTAGTGGCGGGAATGTATTTCATGTTACGCGTTCAGAAGAGTTTAGTGTTCAGAAAATATAGATGTAATCAGCTGGCATCTAACTAGAAATCAAAGTTCTTATTGCGCTGCAAATAGATTTATTGGATTTATGTTGTCTGGCTCGGTCCCTTCCTGGAAACATTTATTTATGACAAGGAAAAGGTAGGTGCAGGAGTTAATAACTCTAAAGTTCGGGGGTGGGGGGATGGGGGGGGTTGGGGGGGGGAAGGAAAAAAGGAAAAAAAAAAAAAAAAAAAAAAAAAAAGAGGAGGCAAGAAAGGAGCAGGTTTTGGGTCACGACCCAGTCATTGGATGGTGTCCAGAATTTTACGGATTAAATACATGCTATCCAGAGCCCGAATGTAAAAACCACAACAGGAGAAACCCATGCCAGCTTTAAATACTTAGTCCTTAGTAAAGGACTCTGGACAATATGCCTAAAAATGTCTTTTCCATCAGTCAAAGTTTGTTTAAAAGTTGGATGACTTTGAGAAAGGCTTCCCATGAATTCCCCTCTGGCTAAGCAATCAAAACAAGTTTAGTGAAAAGTGGAAATGTGCGGATGGGGGTAAGGGGTAGATTACTCCTGACAGCTGTATTTCCATTTTTTGAGATGCCCCGTGCAATCCTGCTACAAAATAATATTATTGTTCCCTTCCTGAACCCTGTCCATGCTCCGCTCCACTGCGGGAAGGGGGCTTCTCCCCTCTCATATGTTTAGTTATTACGTTTGTTTCTAATATGTGTAAATGAAGGGCTCCTCTAAAGCCACCAGAGCTGCGTTTCTAGCCAGGGTCAGTCGTTTGGGGAAGGTAAAGGGGGAAGATGGAAGGGGGGAGGGGGAATAAAAGAATGAGAGAAAAAAAAAAATACACCCACCCCCTACGCCCCCCCCCCCCCCCCCCCCAAATATGTCCCCATCTGGGGCAATCTCCTTCCCAGGGCCTTTGGTGGGTGGAAGGGCCGAGGCACAGGCCAGCCCCCCTCTCTGCTTGAGAAGAATCTCTCAAAGTTGGGTCTAGCCAAAAACATAATAGTGATTAAAAAAAAAAAAAAAAAAAGAAAAAAAAAAAAAAAAAAAAAAAAAGAAGGGTTCTCCCTGCCTGTCCCTGTGTATTGATGAGCACCCTGAAATGAATGGGAAGGGAAAGTCTGGGAGTCTGCAGGCAGGCTGCGGAGTTAAATCAGCCTGATAAATGCCGGCAGGTCTCTTTGTCACTTTTGAAAAACATGTTTCCATCAAGAAGACTTATTAAGATAAAATACATTAAAATGTCGAGCTGGCTATTCAGTAAATCTTCCATTTGTTTTAAGATCTGCACTTTATCCTTTGCAAAGAAATATTCCCTCCGACGCTGCGAGACTGCATTTGCACTGGAAGTAAAAGGGGGCAGTCACAGTACACGTCTCCGACCACCCTGCATACAAATTAGATACTCCTGTCTAAATAAATTATCTGATGTTCAAATCGATATTAATACTACATTTGCTACGTTACAATATTGTGCAAATTTCGGAGTCATTTTAATACAATGTAAATACTATTTTTCATGCATGAAAGGCAACAAATATTGATGGATTATAAACTGCTTACTGTTAAACAAGGCCTTTGAACGATTTGCCATCTTTGTTCAGGAATGCTTTTAATTTTGCCTCGGCCTAGTTTTAGGCCAGATTTATCGGAGCTGTTTAGTTATGGCTAACTGGGAGGACCGGTTTGGAAAAGGGGGGAGAAACCGGGACGAGAGAGGAGCAAGGGGATGGGGGGGTGGGGGGGTAGGGGGGAAGGAAAAACAAACAAGCAGAAAAAGTGGCAATTAGCCCCATCGTGGCGATAATTAGAATAATAATTAAAAAATGACACTGCCAGGCCTCTTATCTCGCCTTGTTTCCATTTCCTATATTTCCTCCACCTCGTTCGCCTTTGATGTTTATAAATTTCTCCCTCGCAGGTTACAATAATAGAAGACATATTATATTCTTATAGGCTACGACCAGAGCACTTCAAAGGCGACGCTAATGCACTTTCCTGCTAGTTAATTTGAACCATCTATCACCGGGAAAAATTGTTAACATGCATGTTTCCACCGCCTCCACTTAATTTGGTATTTTTTTTTTTTTTTTTTTTTAGTATTTTGAGTGTGTGTGTGTGTGTGTTAAAATGCCAGCATCGGTGGGGCTGAAGGGGAGGTCGGTCCCTGGGCTGGGGTGTACCCCCTCGGGCTCTATGCTACCTCGGCCTTCCGCCTCTTTAAAAAAAAAAAAAAAAAAAAAAATAGTAATAATTCAATTTTAATTTTTTTTTTAATTTTTTTTTTTTTTTTTTTTGGTACGGCGCCCCCCCCCCCCCCCCTCCACACAACACACACACCTCCCCCTCCTCCCCCCACCCCCCCCCCCCCCCCCCAGCCCCGCCCGCCCCCTCACCTGAGGTGAAGAGGACGATGGCTTTCAGGCAGCTGTACTCGGCCGAATCGACGTGCAGCGCCTTCAGCTTCTCCACCTGCTCCTGGAAGATGCGGATGTGGTCCATGAAGGCGACGACGCGGTCGGCCGACATGGGGGAGGCGTGGAGGCCGGCGGCGGCCAGGAGCGGGGCCACATGGAGGGGCATGGAGCACTGGGCAGCGTTGAGGACGAAGAGCTCGCTCCAGGTGAGCCGCAGCAAGGCCACCTGGTCGGTGATCTGCAGGTCGGGGAAGAAGGGGATGTTGCGGGCCCACTCGACGGCGCTGAAGAGCAGGCGGGCAGCCAGCTCGCAGATGTTTTCGATGCCCATGATGTTGTTGGGTTGCATGCACTGGCTGCCGTAGCGGGAGGTGGGGTAGGGCTCGGCCCGCAGCAGCAGGGAGATGTATCCCGAGAGATAGCAGTGCCCGTTCAGGGGGTCGCCGTTGGTCAGGGCGTACTGGCCGGGGTTGGGCTGGGTGGGCGGCATCCTTCCTCGCTGAACCGCTGACAAAAAGAAGGAGAGAAGGAGAGGAAATGTGCATCCAGGAGGCTTGCAGGCATCGCCCCGGCGGCGCTGCCAGCCAGCCGGAGACAATGCCGGGCTTTTTTTTTTTTTTTTTTTTTTTTCCTCCTTTCCCCAACACCCCCCCACACCCCTCAACTACCCACCCACCCACCCCCCTCTCCTCGCCCCCGGCACACGCACAGGCACGGACAGACAGAGGCATGCGGAGCCGGGCAGCTGCAGCCGACCTGCATCGCCCCCCCCGCCCGGCCCCGGCCCCAGCATCGGCCCCGACCCCTGCTCAGGCAGCCCTAGCCCAGCGGCAGCCAAGCGCGCCCCCCGCTTCTCCTCCCCCCTCCCCCCCCCCCCCCCCAGCCCCCAATGCAGACAAGCTTCACAAAATAAACACAGATTAAAAATAAAGAAGAAAAAAAAAAAAAAAAAAAAAGCCAAGGCAAACAAGACAAATCCGCACACACAGACCCCCCGCCCCACCGTGCCCCCCCCTCCGCAACAAAAGGCAGCCCCGCACGTAAAAACAAAATAAAATAAATAAAAAAGAAAAATCAAAGAAATCCTCCGGAGGGTGAGAAAGTGGGGTTAAAAATCACAGCCAGCTGTTAAAAATATAGCCAAGCTCTGTTGTGGATCCCAGCCGATTGCCCCGGTAGCACTGAGATTTACAAGTGAACTGCTGTGTCGCTTTTCAAAAAAAAAAATATTTAAAAATACAAAATGATTCATAAAAGCAAATGCGTCCTTATTCTTCAAAAATACCGCGTCGTTGCCCTTCAAGCTGGAACAGGTCGCAGCCCCCCCAGCTCCCCACTGCTAACTTTATTACAGAGAACCAGCTTTCCATAGAGGACCCCCCCCTCCCCCGCCCAGCAAAGTTCTGCCTGCTAAAAGGAAGAGAAAGATTAAATATTATCAAGGGAAGGGGGGAAATAAAACAAAAAGGTCCAAACTTACAATAGCCAAACATTCGTGGAAAAAAAAGGGGACGGTGTAATTAATATCTTTGGTGCGCTCTTGCCACTGCAAAAGCCTGCAGTCAGCGTTGCACAGTGAATGCACAAGCTTGCAACTGCAAAAACACTGGATTCATTAACCATCTCCACACAGAGCGTAAGCATGCCTCGAGTCCCGAAAGCTGACCAAAGTTTTTTT